ACTTTGAAAGCGCTAACTTATAATTGACATTTGTTAAAGCCATTCATCTTTTCATTTTGCAACTTTTGAATTTTGGTTTTTGAATAAAAATAAATAAATCAATTTGGATGCCTCAAATGATTATAAATTATGTAAACGTAACCCCCAATTATCAAATTACAACATCAGCCCAGAGAAGATTGTCAAATTACAAGCTTTCGACTCAATCAATGAGATGAAGATGCGAATGTCAAAAAAGTTCATGGAAGTTCAACTGATATACATATATATTAGCAGACCAATCAGCATCACATTTTAGAAACTGGGGAGAGGTCACCGACATAAATCCATGAACATCATGGAAGTCATATGCATTATATATGATCACAGCTATCTTAAGTAAGCAGGCCGTAACAGTAATGGTTATCAATTATCACCTAACTTAGTAAAACTTGTTAGCAAGTTCATACGCTATGCTCCACAATCAGACCAAAGTCCAAAACACTTTCACACCAACATTCTCAGTATCTATGACCCATAGGCAAACCAAACTTGTCCAAACGACCAGAACCGGGATAGGCTTTGCTAGTGAAGCTTGCATGCAAAGCAGATGCCCTTTGTGCAGACAATCTTGACTCGCCAAATCCGTTCATTGAGTACCTATTAGACGAACCAGACCTCTCATACCTTGTCCTCTGTTTTGGAGCACTGAGAGATCTGACCTTTGCCTTAGAAGATTCGGTGTAAGCCATATAATTAGGGCAGTCAGAATAAGCACTTACATAACTCCTTGAACCATCACTCTTAGTAGGAGTAAAAGGGCTTCTTTTAGAGCTACCATCCCTAGAGGACCCAGAAAAAAAAGGAGGACTATTGTTTGCTGTGCAGAATGGGGTCTCATCAACTTCATGCCCTTCTGGTGGACTGTAAGATTGGTGAATTTCACGATGGATTGGACCGGAATGATGAATTGTTGAGTTCTTTGTGGCGATCAAATTCTGACTATAAGGATCAGAAACTAAAGCTAGATTAGCGGAGTGGAAGAGGTTTCTGGCTCTGCGTTTTGATGCCAAGTTTCTTTTTTCAGAATCCATTTCCAGGATCCTTACATTTCTTTCATCGTTCACACAGATTCTTACGGACGATCTTTGTCGATTCCATGATTTCTCATCTACCCAACTGTCTGTTGTCTTCCAACATTTCTCCTTATTGCCACTGATCTGGACATAGGATTTAGAATTATCTCTTCACAGTTACATAAATGCTTTCATGAGTAGACACGTTAAATGACAAAATGAACCGCATCCCTAAATGCAAGAACAATACCTTGAGTATTGACGACTGATCATATTTCATGCTCTTGGATCTGATGGGGTTTTCAACTTTGTCAGGTGTTGCCGGATCCTGGGAACAGAAGAAATGCTGGAATTAAATAGCAATCGTATCAAGAACGTGAAAACCTAGCCGTGTGATGTCTTGATACTTGACTAGTCAATGAGATGAGACTAAGAGTATTAACAAATAGAACAGTTTAGACACAAATATCTTGGCTCAAAAATGGACTAATTATATCAGACACTATATTACAAATTTATAATTTATGAAAATGGATTCCTATATCATCAACTCATGTTTCCAGCAGCATGAAATTACATATAGTAAAAGCATAATTGAGTGGACAGGAAAATTAATGGAGGGCCCAACAATTATTTACATGGAGGTGGACATTTGATGACATGGCCATCAAAGATGAACTAAGCCGCCCCGCCCGAACTCGAGTCTGAGCTCGCAAGTGTAATTGCATTTTTTGCAGCCGCTCAGCCGTCCGCTTCCTCGCCACCTGACCCCTCACCAGCGCCTGCAGCTTGACCAATCCTTTTAACGCTCGCAGGGCTCTCCTTGCCTACCAAATTTGCACATTGAGTTTCACATTGAAAGGCGAAATCTCTTTCTGACAAATAAATCAAAAATCAGAGCACTCGGCGCACTTTATGACAGAAAACAAGATTTTATCTTTAGTAAATGTCAAGACAACAATAACAAAGCCCAATAAGACTAAGCCAACTACAAGACGGCACGAAGCTATAACCAGTCCCTCTGTCTGATTTGATTACGAGTTTTGAATGGGTTGATGGGTTAAAGGAGAGATAAGCGCAAAGATGGATTTACATTATAAGGGGGAGACATGACGGTTCCCGGACCAAGCCGTTTCATTCATTTGAAGAGTTTTCAGATTCGCGCCAGGTAAAAGAACAGCACGGAAGCAACGAGAAAATTCGAAGGTAAACAGGCGCCAAAATGACTGAACTTCTATTTTGCAGTTCAAGAAAGTCCTGTGTCAGTGAGACGCTTTTGCGGCATTTGGACAAAAAGAAAAAAGAAAAGAAATATTAAAAGTACTCAATCTTCATTGGTTGCTAAAGTTAAACAGCCCAGCTTTTATCTTGGAAAAGTCATGCGGGTCCCTCGATTATACCGATCAGCATATGGGAGCTCCTTTTTACTCCCGTAGCTGGCCCCACTCTCCCAATAATTCCCAAATCCAAAGGATTAAAACCGAAGGCCAATGTTATTGCCACTAGCTCGTAATGGATGGTTCAGAGTTAAGTGTGGAAAAGGTAACGGTGAAAGCCATATTTTGAAGCAAAACTTTTCAGGCTATCAATTCTGAGTAAAACGACACTAGAGAACAGCTCAGCTCACTGTGCAATAAGTGGAATCTTCACAAAAACCAAATGAATAAAAACATCATCTTGCAAATAGACCAATCTGCAAAGCTGTCCTATCAGCTTCGAAGCAGACTGAATGAAAAAAATCTGTTCCAGGAATTTCCATATCTTCCTTACTACAGCTCGCAGTAGGAATCCTAGTTCATTCGCTTCTCCCGCCCCCCTCTTAATAAAAAATAAACAACGTGCTCTTCCATCTGCATCTCCAAATCAATAAATGCTTGTTCAAGATCAAAATGGAATTAAAAACAAAATGCGTTCTCGATACACACAAAACGGTCTTGGTAACTGTGACTCGAAACAAGTGATACAATGGTCAGACCCGGAAATTCAACGGATTTTGCGTTCACACGGCAGTAACTGCAAAAAGAAATAAAGACTACGGAACTATTAGCATTAAATATAAATAAGACCACTAACCAAACATCCACGAAAAGCGGCTTGAATCTTAACGGCTGCCCATTCTTCACGGTTAGCGGTGCTTTGCGCCGTGGCTTGGACGCATCTGCCGCCGCTACGAAGTCTGAGTGCAGGAGCTGCAGCCACGGTGATCGAATGATTATCATTATTATGAATGCCGGTTTTAACAGCGGTGGTGGTAGGGAGGTTATCGTGTTCTCTGTAAGATTTGACGAAGCTCCATCTGCGTTTCTCTTTGGGGGGTTTTGGAGCTGAGGTGGTGGGAGTGGGAGATGAGGAATCAGGCTTTTTAAGACTGAGAAAACCACGAAACCATTTTGATACCTTACCCATTTCTTCTAAGAAGCAAATGGAATAGGGTGCCAGTAGTTACTTCAACATTAAAGAGAGAACCAGGAGGGAAGAGAGAGAGAGAGAGGAGTTGGAGGGAAACTCTGGAAGGAAGAAAAGAGGCGGGGAGGATGGCTTTTTGTGTAAGCAAACAGTGCGGTCATTACACGGAGCCGAGGCCCCTTATGAACCAAGGGGCACACTGATCCGCGTGCATTCAATTATTATTTTTCTTCTTCAAAAAAATTTACTTTTATCGCAAAAAAATGAAAGAAAGAAAGAATTTAAGTCATTTGGGTCTGAGACCATCAATCACAGTCAACGATTGGGACCTATGGTTTTGTCTGTGTACCACAAACAACCAGTTTCAGGGTTTGTTGTCTGCTGTCATTGAATTTAAATTATTTATATCTAATTTAAACAATTTAGATTTAAAATTTTTAATTAATTATTTTAAAAAATATTGAGAAATTATTTTTATTTTAGATTCTATATATATTAAAATAATTATTTTAAATAAATAAAAATAAAAAATTAAATTTAACTATTTAAATGAGGTATGGATAACCTAAATCTCATAAGTTTAGTGTTTATTAAAATAACAAGTATTGGGACTGATTTCGTACGGCAAGATTGTAAATTTTTCACTAAAACCTCCCACAAATTCTCCCACCCAGTTCGAATTCCCTCCCACTTTCAAATTTTCTTTTTCTTTAAGGCCTGGTGTTCACAAATCACAACAACACTGGTACTAGTACACTACCAGACTAGGTGCACTTTTAGACTAACTTTTTATTTTTTTTAAAAAAAGCGCATTTTTTATATTGTATGGAATAAACATGTGTGACAATATTTTTTCTGGAGGGTACAAAGTATCACGTCCATTTCTTAATATATTCGCTCCATTTTTAATATAAAATATATTTAACTAATTTGATTATATTAAAAAAATTAGATGAATTAGCTAATTATAAAAAATATGATTTTTTTTAAATATTATAATCATCTTTCTTAATATCTTTCCTCTCTAAGATCAAAATCAACTCAATAATTAGGTCCTATATTAAGGACTGGAAGAGTAAAAATTTAAAGATTAATTTGAGTGTATTAAGAAAGTTTGTTGAGTTAGTTATTTGAAATAAATAAGTACTCGTATTATTTTTTCTAAAATATCATTCCTAACTATGTGTATTAATTATAACTACTATTTGATAGAATATTTAACATGTGTAGCTATTATAATGACTGCTTTAGGAAAAAAATGAATACATATGGAAAACAAATATAAATTGAAATATTATATTTAATACTCTTCCGGTTCTAAATATAAGACTCTTATATTTAGAATAAAAAAATATTAAATTTAAAATTAAATTAATTCTTATATTAAGAATGATAATTATTTTAAGAGGTCTTAAATATCTCCAGGTCTCATTTGGCTTATCCATGTATATGGGTGTATCTACATCTAGGGGATCGAGCAGAGGCTTGAAGCCAGTCTCTTGTAATCTTCCGCATTCTCTCTGCACCAAAACCGCATCTCATAACCAACCCTCAACCTCAACTCATACCCTCTTATTCTAACTATAAAAACTAATTGACTAATTTAAAGAAATTAAAAAAATAAGTTGAGTTAGTTATTTATCATAAATAGGTATTGTCTTTCCTAAAATATCCTTACTAATCAAGTGTATTGGCTATAACTATCATTGTTAAAAGGACTACTTTGAAAAAAGACGTATAAATATGAAAAACAAAGTAGATTGGGATCTTATATCTAGGACCAAAATAAAAATCAAATAAGGTCTTATATTAAGAAGCGGTGATAATATTACCTCCACTTTTTAATATAACAATCAGTTAATTAATTTAAGTAAATTCAACAAACTTGTTAAATTAGCTATTTGTGATAAACAAGTGTTATCTTTTTTAGAATATTCTTATTAATCATATGTATTGGTTAGAACTACGAAGACTACCTTAAAAAAAAGATTAATATGAGAGACAGAGTGAATTGGGGTCTTATATTTAAAACCAAATTAAAAAAAATAGCTCTTATATTAAAAACCGGAGTAATATATTTTCTTCAATCCACGTGATAATGTACATTCAAATCTTAAATATAATAGTTTAGTTATCAATGCCTCGCAATTAGACCACCATCGTCCATAATTTACAAGAAAACTTATCATTGGATTCAAAAAAAGAAAAAAAAAAAGAAATTTGATTATCAAAAAATCACAATGAGAAGTGACCAACAGATGTTGATATTCCTTATCCTAAAACTTTTTGCTGCATGCTTTCAGTTATCAATAGACTTTAGAGTAATTAAATCTTTAAAAAAATTGTTTTGGAAGTACCTATGCTTTTTCTCAATTTTTAATTTAGTACCTATATGTTTTTTCCTCTCAATTAAATCTTTAATTCTGCTCTATTAACATTATTGATCCTTACACAAAGATTATAGATTCTAACAGAGCAAAGTTATAAAAACTAATATTGCAAAAAGAACAAAATTAAATGATTTAATTAAGAAAAAAAATACATGAATATCAAATTAAAACTAAAAAAATACAGGTACCTTCAATATGATTTTTCCTTAATTCTTTTTTTGGGATTTATTGTAATTCTCCTTAATTTATATTGTATTGTTGTTACTCATCAATTATGTGGTCTCTATATATGTATAAAACTGGAAAATTAATATGCTTTTTAATATTGTTTCACATACTTCTCAAATGAAATAATACATATAATTAATTGAAAAAAAGAAAAAAATATTTTTTTAATTAAAATTATATGAGAGTTTCGTATCTCGCGTTGTGTCAGCTCACTAAGGGTAAATTTCATAACCCACAACTAATCTGTATATAAATATTATATAAAAAGTTGACACAAATTTGATAATAGAAGAATAAGAATTAATTTTTTTTCCCAAAATACCTCAAAGACGTCATGAGTTTATTAAAATTTTAATAGAATTTTAAATGAGAAGAATCCACTAAGCGTGAAAGTTAAAAAAGAAAAAAGAAAGCTCATTTATCCAAAATTCCAAACACCTCCAGATTTGATTACAACTTAATGGGCAGAACATGTTTTGAGAGTCCGTTTCAAAATTTAACTTGCCGCTGGTTTAGATTATTTATGGAGAAGTGATTTTTGTGCTATAAACAATATACATATGAAAAAAAGTTTTGTTTTGAAAATTATAAAAACAGTTATTTTAAATAGACTAACTACTTTCAAAACAAGATATGTTTAAAATAGTTTAATTTTAAATGATTCAGTTTGCATTTGATTAATTGGAGTTTCATGCATGCTCCACTCAAAGCCTCCACACATCTATTGGCATTTTTTTTTCCCTTTGACTGTTTAAAACATGCGAAGGATAGACGCTTGATTCATCTTATTATTTGATATTATTATATTCTATATTTAATATAAAACCCCGGTTAATTGACTAATACAACAAGATAAAAAAATCACTAAATTACTTTAACGTGTTTATAATTATCGGTTTTTTTCAAACTAATTTAACTCATTCATATATGCTGACTAGTCAAACTATTAATACTTTTAATACTTGTAAATTGAAAACATCCCAAATTTACAAGTAAATCCTTGATATTTACAATTCAAATTCATATAATTTTCGTATTAGTTCTTTATATTTTATACAAGTCAACTTTTTAAATTTAAAAGTGAACCTACCTACTATTTATTTATTTATCCTATTATGTTAAAAATTTCAAAGCTAGGTTTATAAATTTTAAAAGTTCTTCACTTGTAATACAAAATGACATAAATTTTTTCCCAAAACAAATATAAAAAAATATTAACATTAAAGATTTACTCATAAATACTCTAAAATATTAATATTTTAATAAAAAATTCATTAAAAATTACTTTTATTGCCGGCCATGACCGATCTGTCGCCATTAATATATGACATTTTATGAGAGAAATTAATTATAACGAAGTCTTCAAGAATTTAAAAATATTTTAGTAAATTCGTGATACCCAATAGGTCTTTTTCTTGACTTTGTACTACTACGCAATATTTCCTAGTTTTTATTAAAAACCTTCTAAATGGAGGGGGGGAAACGAAAAAAACGACGCAACGATGCGTTTTAGACTTCGGGTAAGACGCAGTTCAGTTGTTCTCATCAAATTCAAAACCGTCTTCTTCAACCATGCTATAACCGCCCACGACAGCAGTCATGCACTTGCGTTGTAAGGCCAAAATAAACGATTTTTCGATCCACACTCATTCTTTCCATCCATTTTCAACATGTGCTAAACAACTAAGCAATCTTCATTGCTCATTACAGAAGAACCCACTAATGATTTGAAATTTCGAGCAAGAAAATGGAAGTGCAGAGGACCACGATCATCTTCTTAGCCCTTTGGTTACTTAATTATCTGAATCCGCTAGATGTTGCTGGAGTTCAAATTATTTCTAAATCAAGGCTCGAGAAGTGTGAGAAAAACTCCAACTCCGACGATCTCAACTGCACTATGAAAATCGTTGTGAACATGGCTGTTCCAAGTGGCTCGGTAATCTTCACTCACTTCTTTGAACTCCCTTTCTCCCCGTGACTTCCCAGGGGTTTCTGCGAGTTTCACATGTAGTTTTGTGCGGAAATACATTTTTCCTCCACCCCTTTTGATTTCCCCGGCCCCCGCGGAAAAAAAAAGAAGAAAAAGAAATTGTATAACGTAAATTTGGCAGAAAGAGCATAATGTACTTGGATGAAACAGAACGCCAAGGGTTCACGTTATCTCTATCTCTAATCTTCCTCTGTAAGAAATACTTTATATTTGGGCACACCTAAATGACAAGTGTTATGATCATTACTTTTGTAGTGCTGGATGTAATCATGGTCAAGCAAATCAATCCTGAAGTTGCCTCTTTTAACTCTGTTGGGTACTTTTGTTTATTTTTTCCTTAATGGGCATTTGTCTTTTCAATGCTAGAGTGGAGGAGAAGCCTCAATTGTTGCGGAAATTGTAGAGGTGGAGGAAAATTCAACTAACAAGGTGCAGACATTGCGAATACCACCAGTCATAACAGTCAACAAATCTGCTGCTTATGCTTTGTATGAATTAACATATATACGG